ATATCGACTTGAAATTTTGCCATCTTATTGTACTCAAAACAATATTATGTCATTAAAATATGAAGGAAATCGGAAAACTCTAAGGTGGTTTTTCCGGGTTTTTTCGATTTTTCACCGGAAGTTCCTTGTAACCACTCTACAAATCGCAAAAGTGGTCCGATCGATTTCATTTTTTGTGAAAAAAACCTCTATCAGGAAGAGACGAAGCCTATTGAAATTGAGCAGGGTCGGAAAATTCCAAGTGGGTTTTTCAAGGAGATTTTCCGAAAAACACGGTTCGCTTTAAAACGACATATCTCGTGAACAAATAGACTAAATCCAAATTTGAGAAATGCACCGTATGCCTCTTTGATGACGCAACAAATTATCATTCAATCATTTTTTCGTGCATCCATCGGAAACTGGAAAAACAAATGAAAACCCAAACATCAAAATTTGAAATCCTTTTAATTCAATATATATCGAAAACAAATGGAAAAATCGAAAATTATCAAGAGTGCAATGTTATCCACTGGAACATTCCCTACAAATCATTTTCCATAATTTTTTCTGTAAACCCAATAGTACAGGAAATAAAGTGAAAAATATGAAAAAAAAATTTTAACGACCCATAGGGTACTATGAAGATATATTGAAAAACATAGATTATCGATAGATGAAGCTCATTTACCTCCACTGAGGCATGGAATATTTTTTCATTTTGTTGATTGGAAGATGGAACAAAAGTGTTGAAAATTTTATTCTCAGATAATTCCAAATATCTCGAAAACAACTGAAAATATCTGAAAATGTTATAGAACCAAAATTATTCCTTTTGATAAAATCCACAAAAAATCCCTATAACATTTTTCTCTGAATTCAATAGTTCGGGAGATACGATGAAAAAACTAAAAAAAATTACAAGTTCCTAGATTATCACTTGCCAATAGAAAACAAAAAACAAAAGGAAGTAGAAAAAGCACACTCGACTGTCTTTATTTTTCGCCAATAAACTAGGTACCTAGCTCACTCGACTGTCTTAATTTTTTGCCCATAAACTACGTACCTAGCTCACTCGACTGTCTTGATTTCCCACAAAGAAGAAATATGTTGGCAAAGTTTTAACTTCCTTTTGTTTTTGTTTATTCAGTCCCTATTGGCAGTCGAGTGGGCTAGGTACGCAGTATGTGGGAAAAATCTCTAGTTCTCTGAAATTTCATACCGTCGTATACACATCATTGGTGCCGAATGATAGTTTCAATATGAAAATATTCTCATGATATGGTGCCATGGCCTCTACTTCCATCTTACATGAGCAATGATAAAATATCATCTGCATTTAAAGCGTCGTATAAATTATCTGACCTCTTAATCTGATACCTTTCAAAAACTACGTACCTCACTTGTTATACGACGCTATACATAGTGGAGTATACTACGGCCGTGCCAAAAATGCTATCTCGGAAACTAAGCGAGATAGAGGTATAGTTGCTTTGGAGAAAATGATCCCTATCGAATTTTGAGCAACTTTGGTTTTTGTGTGTGGTCTGTCTGTCTGTCTGTCTGTACTCTGTGTTAATCATAAATCGATATATCTCCGGAACCCTTCGACATATCGACTTGAAATTTTGCCATCTTATTGTACTCAAAACAATATTATGTCATTAAAATATGAAGGAAATCGGAAAACTCTAAGGTGGTTTTTCCGGGTTTTTTCGATTTTTCACCGGAAGTTCCTTGTAACCACTCTACAAATCGCAAAAGTGGTCCGATCGATTTCATTTTTTGTGAAAAAAACCTCTATCAGGAAGAGACGAAGCCTATTGAAATTGAGCAGGATCGGGAAATTCCAAGTAGGTTTTTCAAGGAGATTTTCCGAAAAACACGGTTCACTTCAAAACGACATATCTCCTGAACCAATAGACTAAATCCAAATTTGAAGAATGCACCGTATGCCTCTTTGATGACGCAACAAATTATTATCTAACCATTTTTTCGTGCATCCATCGGAAAATGAAAAAACAAATGAAAACCCAAACATCAAAATTTGAAATCCTTTTAATTCAATATATATCGAAAACAAATGGAAAAATCGAAAATTATCAGGAGTGCAATGTTATCCACTGGAACATTCCCTACAAATCATTTTCCATAATTTTTTCTGTAAACCCAATAGTACAGGAAATAAAGTGAAAAATATGAAAAAAAAAATTTTAACGACCCATAGGGTACTATGAAGATATATTGAAAAACATAGATTATCGATAGATGAAGCTCATCTACCTCCACTGAGGCATGGAATATTTTTTCATTTTGTTGATTGGAAGATGGAACAAAAGTGTTGAAAATTTTATTCTCAGATAATTCCAAATATCTCGAAAACAACTGAAAATATCTGAAAATGTTATAGAACCAAAATTATTCCTTTTGATAAAATCCACAAAAAATCCTCATAACATTTTTTTCTGAATTCAATAGTTCGGGAGATACGATGAAAAAACTAAAAAATTTACAAGTTCCTAGATAATCACTTGCCAATAGAAAACGAAACAAGAAACAAAGAAAGTAAAAAAAAGGACACTCGACTGTCTTGATTTTTTTCCCATTAACTACGTACCGAGCTCACTCGACTGTCTTTTTTTTTCGCCAATAAACTAGGTACGGGCTAAGTACGTAGTTTGTACGAAAAATCTTCAGTTCTCTGAACTTTCATAGCGTCGTATACACATCATTGGTGCCCAATGATAGTTTCAATATAAAAATATGCTCATGATATGGTGCCATGGCCTCAACTTCCATCTCACATGAGCAATGATAAGAATCATCTGCTTTTATAGCGTCGTATAAATTATCTGACCCCTATACTAATCTAATACCTAATGAAAACTACATCTACACTAATCAGATACCTTTCAAAAACTACGTACCTACCTCACTTGTTATACGACGCTATACATAGTGGAGTATACTACGGCCTTGCCAAAAATGCTATCTCGGAAACTAAGCGAGATAGAGGTATAGTTACTTTGGAGAAAATGATCCCCATTGAATTTTGAGCAACTTTGGTTTTTGTGTGTGGTCTGTCTGTCTGTCTGTACTCTGTGTTAATCATAAATCGATATATCTCCGGAACCCTTTGACATATCGACTTGAAATTTTGCCGTCTTATTGTACTCAAAACAATATTATGTCATTAAAATATGAAGAAAATCGGAAAACTCTAAGGTGGTTTTTCCGGGTTTTTTCGATTTTTCACCGGAAGTTTCTTGTAACCACTCTACAAATCGCAAAAGTGGTCCGATCGATTTCAGTTTTTGTGAAGAAAAACTCTATCAGGGAGAGACGAAGCCTATTGAAATTGAGCAGGGTCGAGAAATTACAAGTGGGTTTTTCAAGGAGATTTTCCGAAAATCAAAAAATCGAAATAGACTAAATCCAAATTTGAAAAATGCACCGAATGCCTCTTTGATGACGCAACAAATAATTATTTAACCATTTCTTCGTGCATCCATCGGAAAATGGAAAAACAAATGGAAATCAAAACATCAAAATTTTAAATCCTTTCAATTCAATATATATCGAAAACAAATGGAAAAATCGAAAATTATCAGAAGAGCAAAGTTATCCACTGGAACATTTCCTACAAATTATTCATCATAATTATTTCTGTAAACCCAATAGTACAGGAAATGAAGTGAAAAATATGAAAAAAAAATTTTAACGACCCATAGGGTACTATGAAGATATATTGAAAAAGATTATCGATAGATGAAGCTCATCGACTTCCACTGAACCATGGAATATTTTTTCATTTTGTTGATTGGAAGATGGAACAAAAGTGTTGAAAATTTTATTCTCAGATAATTCCAAATATCTCGAAAACAACTGAAAATATCTGAAAATGTTATAGAACCAAAATCATTCCTTTTGATAGAATCTACAAAAAATCCGTTTAACATTTTTTTCTGAATTCGATAGTTCGGGAGATACGATGAAAAAACTAAAAAATTTACAAGTTCCTAGATAATCACTTGCCAATAGAAAACGAAACAAAAAACAAAAGAAAGTAAAAAAAGCACACTCGACTGTCTAGATTTTTTTCCCATAAACTACTTACCTAGCTCACTCGACTGTCTTTATTTTTCGCCAATGAACTAGGTACCTAGCTCACTCGACTGTCTAAATTTTTTGCCCATAAACTACGTATCTAGCTCACTCGACTGTCTTGATTTCCCACAAAGAAGAAATATGTTGGCAAAGTTTGAACTCTCTTTCGTTTTTGTTTTTTCAGTCCCTATTGGCAGTCGAGTGGGCTAGATACGTAGTTTGTGTGGAAAAACCAAGACAGTCGAGTGGGCTAAGTACGTAGTTTGTGGGAGAAATCTCCAGTTCTCTGAACTTTCGTAGCGTCGTATACACATCTTTGGTGCCCAATGATAGTTTCAATATAGAAATTTGCTCATGATATGGTGCCATGGCCTCTACTTCCATCTTACATGAGCAATGATAAAATATCATCTGCTTTTATAGCGTCGTATAAATTATCTGATCCCTATACAAATCTAATACCTAATGAAAACTACATCTATACTAATCTGATACCTTTCAAAAACTACGTACCTCACTTGTTGTATTACCTACTTGTACAAGCAACCACTCAGCCAGTGTCGGGGAATCACAGTATTAAGTACAACTAATCTACACCTGAGCTATTGAACCCTGAACGGAACGCTGATTTTCGTTCACTCTATACTATGTTCGCTTAATGTTTGCACGGTTTATTTCGTACCTATATCTGTGAGTGCTTCCTGCTGAATTTGCTGTTCTCAGTCATCGAACATTATCTTTCAGTTCAAATTTGACGGAAACTACAAGGTGCGACGAATGCCTATTCCCATATCTGTATGGGATTGAATCAAGAGTAATTGTTACACACAATACAACCTGTACTTTATATGGGTATTGATTTGATGGTATTTAAATAGTCTAACAGAATAATAGAAGATTTTATGGAATAAGCGATGGACGGATATTCATGGAGAAGTCAAGCCAGAGGTATGTATTTATCACGTAACTTGATCATAATTCAAAAATTTAACTTGATATCGGCCTTTTATTCATGAGACTGAATAGAATTCAAACCACGTAACATGAATTGTATTACCTATTATGGTAATCTGAATATACAAAAATATAAAAAAGCATACAAATATCGCAATGAGAACTTTGAGACACTTGCACTAAATCTGAAAAGAGTATAAATAGATTAGTATACAGGATGTCCCGTAAAAATTTATGTCAATCTCTCGTATGTAAATATCTATAGTACAGTGAGATAAGACCTTGCGGTTTTCACGGTCCTGTCCCACTTTTTTGTGAAACTCAAGATGACCAATCAAGAGTTTGCATAACTGTTTCCGTTCATGAGATACGGGGCGATCTTGAAAATCTATACTAGTTGGAACCCCTCTATATCTACGGAGTTTCTCAGCGAAAATGTCGAATTGAAATCTTATCCCATAGCATCGAGAGTTACAGGTAGAATCCAGTGGTGCACAATTTTTTTTTTTTGGTTTGGTTTTGGAGATACGACTCAACCTTTTGATTTTTCTCAATGGAAAACCCTGTATTTCATTAGCACATTGAATTATTTCTTTATCCTTCGAAATGATTTATATAATGTATTAATTCAGGATATTCAAAAATGCCCCAAAATCACTAATATACATTGGATTTTGATAGTATGCTATGGATTTTTTATTTAAAATAGTTTCAATTGAAGGAATATTTCTTTCGATTTTTCTTTGGAAAGGACAAGAACAATACCAACACTTATTCACTAACAGAACACAGAATGTATGTACCTTATAGCAACAAATAAATAGTATAATAAAAAGTGCATATAGTAGAATCAGCATCTGATTGAATATTAACTTAAACAATTGAATTTCGGAATCATTAGGTAATTTATTCATTGAATTGTTCAAATTGACAACAACAGAGGCAGTTTTCCAGGAATTGCAAAGACATCCTCCAATGATTTTGAATGCACTAAGACGTGATGAAAAGTATATATGTGAGGAAAAATGGACACCAATTCGAACAATTCTATAAATTAGTTACTGAATAATTTCGAAATTCAATTGTTCTAGTAAATATTCAATCAGATGCTTATTCTACATTATAAACTTTTCATCACTATTCATTTGTTGCTATCAGGTGCCGAAGTTCGTATTTTGTTAGTTAATAAGTGTTGATGTTTTTGTCTTCTTCATGAAAAAATCAAAAGAAATATTCCTTCAATTGGAACTTTCTTAAATGAAAAATCCATAGCCCACTAATGAAATTCGATCAAGGTTTTGAAGCATTTCCATGAATTCTATATTCATATGTAAGTGATGTACTCATATTATTTTGAAGATGAAAATACAGTGTGTTCCATTAGAAAAATCATGAGTTTGAGTCGTATCTCCAAAACCACACCGCAAGAAAAAAAAATGTGCCACTGGATTTCTGCGAAAAATTCTTCATGCTATGAGAAATTCCGAAGATATAGAAGGCGAAAACCGCAATCTTCAAGAACAAACGAGATACCAATGGCTGTCTCAGTCTCACCCAAAATGGAATGCACTGAACATCAGAGTAACTTGGGGTATCCTATACGAGGTGGTTCAGATTGTAATACATACTAAACATAATTCCTTTAGAAATGCGTCATAACACAGTGTGTGAATAATTCTCAATGGATAAGTCAGCCTCTTCCGAGGCTATACAATGTGTTAAAAATTCGTGACTAAGCATGAGGAACTCGGGAACCTCAAGAGGAGATCGAAAACTATCGTAAATAAAATTAAAAATGCAGGACCGTATTCGAAAAACTGAAGTTGATGATGACCGCTCGACAAACGAACGTCAGATTGCCAATTCGACAAATCAATTTTGTATATCACTTTTAATAAACTCAGTATAAATGAAAACGATTTTGCATATTTTCTAATTTTTTCGGATATCTCCGGAAATAAATTAAATTTTCCCAATTTCAAAATAACCATTTTTCTTGATTATTTGGGATTTTCTCTCCTCGTTTCTATAAAATGAAAATATAAGTATTATTCCAATATATGTGTATCAGATGATTTCCTCCAAAAAGTCACTGCGTTCAAAACATTTTTTTATCAGGAGGCCTAGAGGAGAATTCAAATAGCTTGTCAATGACACTTTGTTCGAAAACATGTTTGAAGAGAAGAAATATAGATATATTGGAAAAATATCGAATTTTTCCTTATCTTTAGACGTTTCGGGAACCAATCTCCTGCCGTTCTCAACATGAAAATTAAAAAATATTTGTCTTTGAAGTGGCAGTATTCAAAGCAGCCTCTTGTTTAGCATGAAATTGTGCAAACTTAATCTGTATATATTTTAAGGTTACTGAGATCCTTATGCTCAGCCACGAATTTGTAACACCCGGGCCTGTATACAGATTTTTCACATTATTTGAGATATCCTATATAGAGTTTGGATCTCTGATCAACAATTCTATGTATACCAACATTTTGTACATACCTGTACTCAAATGATCTCAATATATCTATCAAATGAGCAATTTAGATTACATTATCTTTCTTATCATCAACAATATCGATTCCATTATAGATGAACAATATAATTTTGATAATTGTATGAACTATGGAATCTATTGTTATTTTTATTTGTGTTTTCATAAGATTAGATATATTTATCATCTTGGTGTACGGTATACAGGGTTATTAACATAATCATGACAGGTATTTGTTTTGATAAACAGATTCAAGCCAGGCTCGTGACAATTCCAGAGATAGAGGAAGAAGAGGACGAAATTACAATTTCGGAAGAGATTATGGAAATAACCGAAGAGGCCTTGATGAATACCCGAACGACGGTAATAGTCAGTCAATAGTAGTTATTTGTTTTATTAGCCAGCAACCCAGCAAACATTCAGTTGCGGTAAACTGAAGGTCCAATACATTACATTACAATACGAGAAAAGGACAGTCTGGCCGACGGTTTCCCGGATTCAATCAGCCGGCATGCATTCCATTGATGGCTTTTTGAATCCCCATACTGGCATATGAACCAAGTTCAAAATATGTCTCGACACTAGATGATGAGTTTGTGATCTGATAAGATCTTCATTTTGAAGGTTATAATCGGATGCATTGTCGTGACTTGGTAGCGCTGATGGTCCATTCTCCTAGCCATTTTAAAACCGATCTTTCGTCAGAGACGTCACACACCAATTTATGACGTCACTATGACGTACTTTCTATGACGTACTTTCTATGACGTGATAATCATGTCATTGTTTCGACGTCGAGTGAACGTCATTTAGATGGGTAAAAGAAGACGTCAGTTTCATGACTTTGCAGGGACGTCCTGTCGACGTCCATTTTTATCAGACCTTCTCTAAACCATGGATACTTTTATATTATCATGTGGAACAGAAGTATTACTCATGAAAGCAAATCAACATGCAGGTTTTATTGGAATTATCAATGTGTACCCGAAAATTAGGAGAAAACTTTTTTCTAAAAAAAATTGACACACTGTATATCTCGGAAACCAAACGAGCTAGGTATATATACAAATGATTTTCAAGGTATACCTATATTGAAACCGTTACTCTTATGACGTTGCAGTGACGTATCTATGACGTCTGAAATCATGTCGGTGTGACGTACCATTTGGTGAGCTTCGTCATTCAGAAATTTTCTCAATAATTTGCTGTTTAGAGATTTGTTGGGTAACAAAGAATGCATCAATATACATTCTTCAACAAAGTGGAGCCAAATTCGCCAACATCCTTTCCATTCCCTAATAACACACCTTCATCCATTGGACATCCAATGGATATCCTCACCCGGACATCCTGGACATCCATAGGATAACCACTTCGTGTACACAGGACATCCTATGGATGTCCATGGGATATCAGCTTTCCACATTTCAGGACATACATACGTTATCCATGATGGACATCCATTTGGTGTCCATTATGGACATCCATTTGGTGTCCATATATTGGACATATATACCAACCTATACGTATTCAAGAGACAGGTTATGTTATTTTCTTTTATTTCAAACATTGTTCATGGGTGAAACCTAAGGTATATAATATGATGAAAAAATAGATAGTACCTACTTAGGATGATAAATTGGAAAAGAAGTGGTCGAATGCACTGGCAGCACAAAAACGGAAATGCATATTTTGCATGGTTTATGCATCATTTTTGAAAATATTCAATGCATTCTGAATCCGTCTCCATAATTCCTGTTCAGTATTTACTGGTCTGAAGAACACCTTGAACTTTATAGGTACTGCTCCTCATAAACTATAGTATATTTCCTCTGCCGTTTCATCTACTTATATTATCTGAAAACTATTGAATGAAACAGCAATGGACATTCAGAGTGGAATGTGGTGGAGCCTCATCATACAACCCTAATAACACACTTATAATAATAATAATAATAATAATTGGACTTTATTCAATCACACAATAGTATATAGGACATAAATACATATATCTCAAAAAACAAAAGAAACAAAGAAGATGTGACTGAATGGGTGAAGTGTCACTGTAAAACAGTGTTTTTCAACTTAACCCTAGAAATATAATTAACGTTAAATTATGGGTGAAATATTTGATAAATGATGAAATAATATAAATTTTATCAAAGGAATTTCAATAAATAAATCGATGATTATAAGAATATCGGGTCAGTATATCAGTATATGAACCTCTATCATAAACCAGAGACATGGCCGCGTAATTGTACATATTTGCCTACATGTTTGATAAAAGGTGATCTTTAAGTTCCTTCTTGAAATTAATTATAGTATAATTGGCGAACTCTGGGGGAAGGGAGTTATAAAGCGTGCAAGCCACGTAGGAGAAGCTACGCTTGAAGATGGCAGTAGAGTGGTTAGGAATGACTAATAGGCGCCTAATACGTGTCTGAAAATTATTTATATTTTCGAACCGTTTCAGTTTATCCTTCAAATAAGAGGGCTTTTTGGTAATTAAAATCTTATGGGTGAATGTTAAAAAGTGCAGTTCACGTAACAAAGGAAGTTTGAGTTTTTTGGTATCTCGATATGCCTGGCTAATCGGATCGAACTTACGAATTCCCATAGAAAACCTCATACATGAGTTTTGTATTCTTTGTAAACACTTCTGATCTGTAATTAGAAGAGCGGGGCCATAAATGCAGTCGCAGTATGAGAGTTTAGACATAATCAGTGATTCACATAAATGTAATTTTAGCTCATTGCTAAGAATATTTCTTTGCGGGTATAAACTTCTCAGAGTATTATAAGATATTTTACTGAGATGATTGACATGTTTTGTATATCTCATATCGCTGTCTAGCCATAACCCTAAATTTTTGCATTCCTCTACAACTGGCAATGCATCACCTGCTATTTGTATATTATTCAGTTGCTCGAAGACTATAATCTTTTGTGTTTGGGACCAAATACCAAGAGCTTTGATTTGCTGGCGTTCAGTTTTAAGTTGTGTGCGGATGAAACATTATACAAAATCGCCAGATCGGCGTTGATGTGATCCATAGCAAGGTGAAGGTCTTCTATTTGAAAACTAAGGTACAGCTGTGTGTCGTCTGCATACTGATGTACTTGGCAGAATTTCATAAATTCGTTAAAGTCTGAAATATAAATAGAGAACAATAGTGGACCAAGAATTGAACCCTGTGGTACACCAAGAGTTCGCGGTTTCACTTCGGAAGTCTGGTTATCAACTACAACATACTGCGATCGATTTCTCAAATAATTGGCAATTAATTTGACAGACCTAGGTCCAAACCCAAAGCATCTGAGTTTTAGTTCCAGTACAAGGGGGTCCAGAGTGTCAAAAGCCTTGCTGTAATCCAATAATACTAAGCATGTCACTTCGTTCTTATCAGTACTGATCAGTATATCATCCGTGATACAGGCTAAAGCAGAAGTTGTACTGTGATGCTGCCGGAACCCCGATTGTGAAACAGGAATGATATTTTTTGTAAATACATAGTCAGAAATTCGTTATTTTATCACCATTTCCAAGATTTTCGAAAGCATGGGAAGAATACTGATGGGCCTCAAGTCAGAGTATGACGAGGAAGTAGCAACTTTGGGTAAGGGAAGCATGTCCCATGTCCCATGGATATCCTTAGGACGTCCTGTCGGCACATTCAGGACGTCCATAGGACGTTCGAATTTGGTACCGTCCATTGGACGTCTGTGGGACGCACAAATGTCCCACTTGAGGACCAACTAGGGACGTCCTTGAGGGACGTCCTTGGGACAACAATCGAATACCTAAATCCAACAGTATTCCTCATCAAGCACTACAGAGGACGTCCTTAGGACGTCCATAGGACAACCTATCAGCAACGCTGAGGGATATCAATTGGATGTCCAAAGAATGTCCCAGGGACGTACGAATTATTCTTGAATTTGAATTTGTCTGGGTCCCTTTAGGACCAGATCTTGCATAACTGATTAGGACATCCAGTTGAGTTGATGGTTCGTAGAAGGTCCCCAAAAAGTTTCTCAAGGATGTCCAATGGACTTACGTGAAGGACATTGACGAGGAGTACTTATAGCCTACGAGCAATCATTCGTCGGCGAGGTGTAAGCTAACGTCCTCGCAGGGACAAAATATTGAAAGTATACCGACTGGGACGTCCATAGGACGTTATTTCTAGGACATTGGAAGAGTACAGTTCATGTACCAATTGGGTCATCCGACGGACATTCGAAGGACGTCCCTGAGGGACATTTGGATTGCTATACGATCCTGGAAATATTAAGGGCGCCTGTGCAGAGATATTTGAAGGAATGTACCATCAGGGTCATTTCATGGTTGTCTAGAAGGAACATTATATAAGATCTGAAGTCATGCCAGTATTATGTACTACTCGGGACATCCGATGGATGTCCCAAAAGGAACGTTTTGAATCATGTCCCATCAGGGACATGCCAAGGACGTCCTTGCATGGGCATTCTACAATATGTACCACGTGGGACGTCTAAGGGTTGCCATTTCTAGGACATTTGAAATGATGTACCAGCTGGGACATTCCGTGGACGTCCTTGCTCGGACATTGCATGAGATGTACGGGATGGGACGTCCCAAGGACACTTATTTTTGGTTCGGGACATTCGGATTTGAATCGTACCAAATAGGGACGTCCCTAGGACGTTGTGTGCTATTAGGGAAGAGCCACATGTTGTGAAAAAGGTGTTCCATAAATTTTTATCGTCAGTTTAGGTCGATGAGCAAGATAATTGGCCCCAAGATGAAAATTCCTTAAACTGCGAAATTGTCAATGATTCTTGTCCACACATCATCTGTTGTCGTATCATTCAAGAGTTTGTCAACATCCGATGGATTTTTTTCCTACTTTATAGTAGATACGTCGGAAGAACCTGTTTCAAATCCTTCTTCTTCTGTTCATTCTGGTGAAGGGTGTTTCACCTACCTATCCAAGAAATATGTTATGTTATCGTAACAATTCGCAATTAGGGACACCTGAATAGACACAGAAATAATAAGAACTTACTTGTATGAAGGCCGTTTAAAGCAGGAAACGGGGGCATAAACTTTAAATACTAGTAATTATCATGAAAGTCCACCAAAATGAATGGATGAACTGAACATAACCTATATTATATTTCGAATTCTGACAGATGAATTCAGATCGTCTTCTTCTCATTTCACTCTTCTCAAAATTTCTCGCTACAATGGACATCCCTACAATACACTAATGGATGTCCAATATGTACTGCCAAGTATTCGGTGTGAACATCCAAGTGTCTATTCGATGTGCGTCCATGGACATAGATATGCTCCCAGATGGAGTACATACTAGATC